AGAAGCAGCATCAGGCAGACCCTCCCTCCTTTACCTGGCACACGTGAGCTCTGTTAAAGCCCTGTGGTGTGGTATCCAGCGATCCCACCCTGCAGTGATGGCTCTGCAGCTCACTCTGGGTCCCCGTATAAACCGGGCCTTCAGCGCCACGGGAGTCTAACTAAGCTCCTGACTACAGGTGACTAAGCACGTGAGGGAATTAGCCCTCTGCTCTCTCAGACGGTGGTCAGATGATGTTTTCCCATGTTGGGACCTGCCTCACTGTGGCTGGTGTCTTCAGAATCGCCCCTCCCCACTCTCCCTGCCCCCACCTACTCACAGGGTCGTGGGGCTAGTGTGGGGCAGCCACAGAACTCCTGGACTTTGAGGGACTAACGGTATGAGCGGATGGTCGCCGTCACACAGGTATGTCTTCAATGAGGAAGGTATTCTTGTTCTCAAGCCCACATGCTTGAGGGGAAGTGAAACTTCTCAAGCAGCATGGGAACCGCCGGACTGTTCGCCTCTGGGCCGTTCATTCCTGGGCCTCGATGGTCACAGGGGAGGAAATGAGGGTTCCTCTTATGGAGAGGCATTTTATTTCAGGTGGAGCCTGGTTCCCCAGGACCAGCTTTCTGACCTGGGGTAGAGCTAGGTCTCCCTGTAGGCTTTGGGAAACGTCACTTTGCTGGCCTAAGTCCATAGTATCTGATGACTCCAAGAGCTGTCATAACTGACCAAACTGGGGAAGCACTCCCCACTAATCCATTTCTAGGGACTTCCGGGACAGCTCTGTCACTCAGGGTGAGTCTTCATCTTCAAAAGGCGTCAAAGGGTAAGTTTCTTATTCCTCTCTTCTCCCACATCTAGGACTTGGAGGAAGGTCCAGATCTCAGGAGCAAAGTCCCAGCGAGCCACTGGACACTCAGGTCCCAGGTGTGGGAGGCAGATTAGCTCGTGCTGGGCCCCTGGTTGTGAGCAGGAACACAGGTGCCCATTTCGTGACAACACTTGCATCCTAATACCAACACCTTATTCAAACAGGAAATGGTGCATTTTCCACATTCTTCGGCCAGAGCCAGAGGATGGAATGGAGGTAAGCGGCTCGGGCGGCATTTATGGAATGTGAGCGTTCTTGCTATTTCCTCTGTTGGCAAGAACCGTTCCATTCTTTCATTCTCCAGGTGTGACAACGCCCACTCCCGCACCCTGTGCCCACTGCTCCCTTGGTAGTCGTCCTGAAGGTGTCTTGGTGGTGTGGGAACAGGCTCAGAGCATGAGGGGAGCATGGAGAAGGCCTGCCGTCCAGAAAGATGCCAGGAAAAGTCAGAGGGCAGAATAGACAGGAGAGCCAGGCCAGCAGATCTGTGAGAGAGCTTCGCAGGGGCCTGGCTCTCTGCGAAAGACCGGCAGGCAGGCAAGCTGGGGAGAGAGTTCTTCACATGAGCAGATTCCTGTTCCCGTGCAGGGGAGGGTGCAGAAGTAGGGAGACCCACAAAGGAGCAACCACCAAGAGTTATCAGACTCAGATGCCAGCAGAGGCTCAGGGCAGGACAGAGGCCAAGAGTTTATTTTGAAAAGGGAGGAGGGAGGTGGGTGGAGGGTGAGGTGGCTCCAGAGAGGCTCTGGTGGTGGGAGCTGGGGGTGTCTGAAGCAGGAGCTACATGGACGTTTTCGTTTCCCTAAATTTATAAGTTGATGTCTCTAGACATCTCTAGAGGTGACATTTTGGAGAGCTAATTGTGTTTTATAAAGTTATAAGGATGGGACCCCCATGCTGAGATGTGCACTCTTAACCGAAGAGAAAGAGACCGGAACCCTCTCCCCTCTGTTGTTTGAGGACACGGTGCAAAGGAAGCCATCTGCAGCCAGGAAGAAGGCCGCCCTAGCGATGGAATTTGTAGGATTGTTGATCTGGAGTGTCGTGAGAAGCCGATGTCTGGCAATTAAGTGGCCCTGTTTGTGCTGTTGTGTTATGAATGCGGATTACAACCCTAGCCTTGGTCATCGTCTACAGAAGGTGGGGAGGGCCCTGGCGCACAGGGGAAAGGGTTAGGGAGACAGCGGGGAGTCTCAGGAGAAGTGGAAAGGCTGCTGAGCTGAGAGTTCTGTGAGGTCACAGGACACAGGCGGTTTAGAACCCAAACCTCACAAGTATAGGTTCCTCCAGCTGCCTTCATGAGCACACGTTAGAAGAAGGCAAATGGTTAAACTGATCCTCAGAGAGCTTTACCAACAGTGGAAGGAACAGGCCAGAGAGGTTAAGGTTGCAGAGAGGAGCAAGAGAAGAGACACTTACACACACATATGTGTCAATATAACCATGCATAATTATATATGCATATGATTATGTGTGAATATATGAGATACATAATAGATAAATGGACAGGTACATAGATAGATTAGGCAGATTAGACATGATTTACTAAACTAGAATAGGGGTAGGGAGGTTTTGTCTATATATGTATATGTGTATGTGTGTATGTATGTATATATATACACACATACATACACACATGCACATATATATGTGCAGCTATCAAAGAACATTTCTGGTAAATTAATTTTTTCTAGAAAAAAAAAGCAAGGTAAGACTAATACTTCGGAAGATGATATAATGGTCCAGGTCAGAATTAGCAAACACAGACAGTAAGCTACAGACTCCACCCTGTGCCCAGAGTGGTCACCTTTACTGGATAGTCATGCTCTTGAGCTGAGCTCTGAATTGTTCTTAACACAGGGCTCAGGGAGCCAGTTTCAGTGAACTGGAATTGGCCCCTGCCTTGCAACCTGCTTCTAGCTTAGGAACAGGCCAAAAGGGGTAAGTCTGGGCTCGATTTGTTAGGTCCTCGAAGAAGCCTTAGCACCGTGGAGCCTGCCCTGGGAGAAAACTCTTCTCACAGCCAATCATGGTTCTCGGTTCCTGGAAACCTGAGAGAGCTAAGGGTAGGGCTAGGGATGAAGTCAGAATTTTCCTGGGGGCACAAACAGAAAACCAGTTTACTGAAGCCCCAGAGTGTACTTGGCCTGCTACCTTGGAGCCCCAGGATGACCCTTCAGCCCCAGCTGAGCTTTCGGAAGTGGGGAATAAGGCAAACCGTGGCTCTCACGTTGAAGTGACCTTCCACAGAGCCTAGATAAGTGTCCGGGCTCTGCTTGAGGGGCCTTTGGGAGAAGGCATCCGATTCTCTTTAGTTTCTGCAGGCCCAGCCTGAGGCGGCGAGGAAGCGGAGCAGCTTGGGGCGATCTCCGAGAAATGCCTTTCACTTATTTAATTCCCGTTTCCTCTGGGTGCGCAGCCTCAAACTTCAGGAAGCTTTGTTTCCTTCCGCTCTTGTGGAACGCTCTGGTTTTAAGTCTTTGTTTACATCAGTCGTGGTGAAACCAGTCTCTGGTTACACAACGTGGGTGAAGGAACAGCAGTGGTGAAAGCTGGGGACTCCCGTGCAGGCCAAAGTTTCTAAGAGATCAGCTGTTCCTATAGGAATTAGCAGTCTTAACACCTGGCGTGTCACAGCTTCCTCCAGATGGTTGCTAATACCGACTGGGTGAGCCACCACTGGCATCCAGGCCTGCTGCTACAGAGGAATGCTTGTTCCTTTTAGGGACTGAAGTGGGTTCAGCGTGAAGAGCTCCTGGACGACGTTTTACTATTTGTCTTTTTGTTCAGGTTTGTTTGTTTCTCCTTAGGGTTTTATCAAAAGAACCCAGAAATGGAGGTTGAGGGAAATCTCTGTGAAGTCTAGTCCCAAAGGGGACTAGAAACCAAAGACTTGCAGGTGGAGTTACTGTGTGTGTGTGTGTCTGTGTGTGTGTGTCTGTGTGTGTGTGTCTGTGTGTGTGTGTCTGTGTGTGTGTGTGTGTGTGTGTGTGTGTGTGTGTGTGTGTCTGTTGGGGCTGTGTGATCAGGGCAGAGAGAAAGAAAAGACCAACATGGCCTTGTGCGGGCAGGAGAAGGTGTGAGGCCCATGTGTGTCAGGTTTGTCTCTTACGAGTAACACATGGAATGAGTTACCCATCTCCTTGGCATTTCCTCCCGTCTGACCTGTATTGACATCTGACACCCACATTGGTTTTCTAAATCTTATTCTAACAAGTAAAAGATGAAATTCTCTTGGCCAACTGGCAGTCTTCTGAGGTGCAGTGTCTTTGGGATAGGACTCCAAACATTATACCTGTGTGTGACAAAGGTAAGAATTTGGTCATTTTTAAGTCAGCCTTGTGGATAGAGGGCAAAGTTTCCAAAGCCACCATCCACATGACAAAGATTACAGTAGTTTCTGCTAAGGTTCCTGTTCCACTTCCCTCCGGGGTCCTCAACTCACGGGCATTTACTGAACATCTGCTTAGGAACAGGAAGGACACACAAACACTATGGCTTCAGTAGGTTCACAGACCACTAATGAGGCAGCATAAATAGACCCAGCAGTAGTTGCCTCTGTGGGTGGAGTCATGGCCTATGGTTTGAGCATGGAGTGTCCTCCTCAGGATCATGTGTTAAGACCTTTGGTTGTCAAATGAAGGGCCTTGGGGACATGATTGGATTCTGAAAGCTCTGATCCAAACAGTGAGGCTATCTCTGCATACATGCATGCATGTATGTATGTATGTATGTATGTATGTATGTATATGTGTGTACATATGTTTTCCGAGATAGGGTTTCTCTGTAGCTTTGGAACCTATCCTTAAAGGTGTGTGCCACCACCTCCCAGTCCCCTTGATATATTTATAACCTGACAGCCAAAGGGAGGAGATGAGCCCTAGTTGGCATCTACTCTGAATGAATTTATCTTGCCTTGACTGGTTCTTGTATCCTGTCTCTGATTTCGGTCCTCCATGAGATTAGTAGCTTCTGGCACGTGCCCCCACTATCATGATATTCTGCCTCATGCGGGTCCTGAATCAATGCAACCAAAAATTGTGGATGATATTCCTCAAACTGTGAGCCCTGATGTGTAGCGACACACTCTGAATTGAATCCGTCCCTCCTTAGAAGGGGAAGGGGTGCTGGAAAGGACCCTGGAAGTTACAGCATTCATTCACAAGGTCCCTCCCGGGATTACATAAAGCAGTAGCTACTGCTGTAGAGGGAAGACTTCCTGGGGTTGTCCAGGGAGCTCGAGGCATGCAGCATTAGCGAGCTGTTACTCATGCTGGGGTGGGTTTTGGGGTAAAGCAGCTGTTTATGTCACCCACATCCCTGTACCCCCCACTCATGCTCCTGGAAGTACACACACATCCGCACACCTGTAAGCGCTGCAAATCCACTGGTCTACCAAGCTAGACTTGGGTGGTGGCCTTTTTTGGTTCTGTCCCTGTTGCCCATCTGGGGTGAACCAATGTTTGCTCACATGACTCTCTGAAAATTATACAAGCCACAATAAATAAATAAATCCTCCAAGTTTTTCTCTTTTGGGCATTTTGATCAAAGCCCTGGAAAGTTAACTAACACAGAAACACACTATAGACTAAGCAACGCTGTTGGAAGGAAATTTGCAAAGTCTAGCGGGGAAAAAAAAAGACTGTCTGAGTATACAAGCTATGGATTGACTCTAGAAACAAAGCAATGAATTTAGTTTTTAAATGCCTTTCCATTTTTTTTATTACAAAAATAGTGAATGTCTATTATAGAGAATTTAAAAACTACATATTAGGGAGGAAAGTTCAGTCCCTCTACCAGGAAGCAAACTTGGGGCTTCATTCTGTACCCCAGACCCCTGCCTTCTGTTCGTCTAATTTATTTTGTGTCTATAAAACACCCTCCTCCTACTTTGGTTCACAGATACTTCCGCTGCCCAAGCAAGTGGATGAGCTTCTGCGGGACAACTTGTTGAGGTCACTCTCCCTCGATCCCTTATTTTCCCACCAGCCTCATTCTTATCAGCCCCTCAGCGGCAACTCCTCAGTTTGCCCATTTGGGCTCTCTCAGTCAATTCAGGCTGCTAAAGAAGACGGAGTGGCTCATAGACGACAGAAACAGAATCTCCACAGTTCCAGAGTCTGGGAAGTCTAAGGTCAGGACAGAGTTAGCTTCTGGTGAGCTTCTGTCTTCTTGGGGTAGCCTGACCTGGGGAGGGGGACAAATGAACTCCTTGGCTTCCTTTCCAAGGACACTAAATGTCATTCAGTACACCCATCGTTCCCCCTTCCCAATGCTATCACCACGGGGTTAGGATTAAACATGAATTTTGGAGGGACACAGGTGTGGTAAGGGCCACCACATCATTCCCTCTTAAGACCCCGTATAGTGTTATACACATTCTTACTGCCCATTTCCTGGCATCTCTTCTTATGTTAAGTGCCCAATTCTCCTCTTCAGATATCTCTATTTTAATAACCTGAGTCTTCCTCACTCACTGACCGACCTTTGGATCCCCATACTGCCCCTCCACCTCAATGATTTTGGTCTGATGGGCCCATGGGGTTGATGGGTCCGTATTCACAGCATGCCACAACTCGGTAGCCCTTGCTGTGTTCTGCCTCTCCTGCTCCAGGCACCGTTACACAGACTCAGGGCTACCCTTTACAAATCTTGCCTAGTGCAATCTAAAACCGAAAAGCTTCTCAGGTAGTCATGGGTCTATAATTAAAATGCATCTTCATGCATTTTCGGTGGCAGATCTGTGCTTCCTACAAGTTGGTGTTACACACACGTTTAAAAGGAGCTTAAATAGCATCTTGATTTTGATCTCATTTAATGGAAAAGTAAAGAAACACAAATCTAATGGCTGGAGAGGTGGCTCAGCAGTTAAGAGTGCTTGATGTTCTTGCAGAGGACCTGAATCCACACTGGGGATGGGAAGGTGTCTCCCAATCACCTGTAACTCCAACTCCAGGAGATCTGATACTCTTCTCTGGTCTGGGAGGCACCTGCACACAGGTGACAGGTACGTATACACATAAATAAACAGGAAAGTAATTTCTTCTTCTTCTCCTTTTCTTCTTCTTCTTCTTCTTCTTCTTCTTCTTCTTCTTCTTCTTCTTCTTCTTCTTCTTCTTCTTCTT